ATTTAAATCTTCTTTCAAGAAACATGGCTACAGGATATATCTTATTTTAAAATTATTCTCCTTCACTTTAGGAGATTTAGGCCATTTGACAAATTTAGAATGAGCAGAAGTCATTATTGTTTCATGATTTATATTAGAAGGTTTCTTGAAGGAAACTTTGTTATAATCAGTAAATCCTTTGTCACAAACATTCATTTAATGAATAATCCCAGATGACCTGACTGAAAAATGTTTGATTGTATAACTGGATTATTGAGCATGGACTTTGTTATTCATTGATAATCTTATTACATTTGAAGTCAACTAAGTTACAGGCATTTAATTTTAATGTGGGCATCAAATCGTCACCTTTGAATATATAATATTTTTAATTAATTGAATCAGCTGTTGGTCAGGTTACTTTTTGTTGTGCTATTAGATCTAAAATAGTTACTGAATCAAGTGTTTACTTCCATCCATCCGCGGGGGTAGCATTCTAAGTAGGGAGGCCCAGACTTCCCTCTCCCCAGCCACTTGGACCAGCTCCTCCAGGGGAATCCCAAGGCGTTACAAGTGTTTACTTATGTAGGTAAAACTAGATGTTAAACAACCATTAAAATACACCAGAATGCAGGAAATGGCATCTACTTTATTCAAAATTTTCTGGGGGAGGACCCCCAGACCCCCCATCAGTGTGTCTCTCCACACACACATTATAAATGCTTCTGACACCAGTGGCCAACACGTTACTAAACAAGTACACATATGATGTCGTGTGGTGTTCAGAGTGTGTTCAACTTAATTCAGTCTTGATGATTTGTGTCCATGAGCATTTGGAGTTTTATATATAAAAACACACTTGATAGTTAGAATTTTAAGTATATTTACTGTATATTATGGTAATTTATTCTTTATTTTGCCAGATTATGGTGATGGGGTCGTGATGATGGGGCCCTTGAAGATTGTTGCCCAGGGTACAGCGAAGTGTTAATCTGGCCCTGGGAGAAGGCCCTTTTGCCTAGTTCAGTCCTCACAGAGGGGGCACTGCATGTAATGATGTCCTGAGAGCGTAATAAAACATCCAGTAAAACATAAAACACCTGCAACTGAGACCAGACCAGTTGTGTTGCATCTATAAGAAATGAGCAATAAATCCAGCAACTTGTGGGGTGTACAGATGTCACTGTGACCCAGTGTTGAGACCAGTGGGAACATAAGGTGGTTCCAGTCACCGAAGATGGACCAGAAGACATGAGTAGGATTTTTGTATTTAGTGCCAACAATTACAGAAAGCCATGAAATCTGTGTCTGTAACTCTGATAATACCAGAGCCAAAACAGTTTTTTTTAAGCAGTGTGGTAACTGAGAGGCATGACTGAAGACAAGAGGTGTTGTATCACTGTCCAAAATTGGGTTGCCAAGTCAAAATTTAAAATGGCCACCACAGAGGTTAGAGAAGGCGAGCCTGTGATCCGATTCAATTCCCCGAACTGGCAACATCAAAATGTGGGCGAGAATGGTGAAGCACCCGCACCTGCCTCCACTCTCATTTACCCCACTCTGGACCCTTGAGCAAGGTCCTTAACCCCCACCACATACTTCACCGGGCACCCTAGATGCAGTTCTCTGCTCCACACAGAGGGCTGTGGTAGCTCCGTGGTCTGTGGTTGTGTCAGGAAGGGCATCCGGC